GATTCTTCAAAAAAAACTAAAAAAAAAGTAACAAAGAAATTACAACTTTCGCTGTATCAAAAATCTTCAAATAAAACTTCTTGAAGAAACAAATTATAGATCCAAAAATTAGAACATCTTTAGAAGAAACAAGAAACTCACTTAATACATAGAAGAAATAACAAGTAATGGAACTATATTAGAAAATTGTGATCACAGGCATCCCGTTTTCAGTAACTGCATACAAGTAAAAAAGGCATCTGAAAATAGACAGTGTTAAAACAACGGCAAAAAAGGCATTTTTCCAAGAGTCATCACCGAACTGTACACATTCGACCTACTCCTTCAAAGGAGCTCCACGTTCCAGCCTTATCAAATAACTTTTTTTAACATCCAATAAAAACAATATTCGACGCCACTTTGTAAATCTGAATAGAAAGCGGAAACTCGCAGCAAGTAATTATCTTATTAAACTGCTGTCGTACATCAGAATCGCTTGCTTCATATGCTGTCAAACGTGCTCGGAGTTCAAGAGAACGGGATAAAACGGGATATGGATAAAAATCTCCCTCCTCCAGCTGTTCTTCCAGGTCCCTGACAGTTTCCTAAAAATTCGAAGTAAGAGTTTTTTAAAACGCTTTCCGTAACCAAGAAAAAGTGATCAAAGGACATTAAACAATTTGCGGTTTTAAATAAAGACAAAAATTAAGAGCCAGCTCTAACCTGTAACTTCTTCTCCTCAGAGGCTTTCTCAAGTTGCTCTCCATCTTCATCAAGTTTTGCACTCATTTCGCTAATCATACCCTCCAATTCCAGCTTCCTAATAGTAAGTCGCTCTTTAGCTTCGTCAGCTTCCGTCCTTTCCTCGCTTTCTTTAACGATTGCGGTAAGGAGAACAGACCCACGAATAAAAAATTAAGGTAGAAGAATGTGGAGATAGTGAGAAGCACAAAAAACTACAACAAAACAATGCTCTTGTAAAAACCCACTTGCTGCAACTGCTCCTGCAGAACATTCTTCTCTTCGTTCAGAGACTGGAACCGTTTCTCCATTGCATTATACTCGCTTTCAACCTCGGAACAGTTATCTTTAACAGTTCTCAGCTCCTATTCTAGTGCATTTTTAACAGCTTCTTGGTTTGTAACTTGT